CAGGGATTGGGGGAGTTCTCAGGAATGAGAACTTGTTTGCTTTTTAAAGAAAGGTGGCTGCTGTGTTTTATCTAGAATATTCCTTATGGTTGAAGCAATTTCCTTCTCCATATCAACTAGGCCAAGGATGGCAAATGGGTTTCAGCTCATTTGCTGCTTGGAGCACAGGTCTAAAAATGACATCGAAGTCATGCCACATCAGGGCTTGAAAGATGAGTCAATGATTGACTGGCGATGTCTGCCATGGGCTTGGAAATAGGAAGTGGTGGCACTGACATACTTGCTCTCCTTGAACTAACATCAACCTAAAGTGTCCCATTGTCTAAACCCTCAAACAAGAAACTTATCTTTTTTTCACAGTTCATTCAGTTTAAAAGTGTATAGATGACTCTAGATACTGCAAATACACTGGATGATACCAATTTATAACGAAATTATAGTATTAAGATAATTAATAGGTGCGGTCCTCTCAAAATTTTTTCTTCTCTCCTTTTCTGTTTTCTTATTTCTTAATATTTATTTTTATACCTTCATTTCATTTCAGTTGACTTGAGCTTTTACTTAGTGATCAGTCAGTTGATATAATCCTGGCTTTTCAATATCTCATATATCTGTAGCTCTTGTTCCTCTTTCAGAACAGATTTCTCTACCTTCACTCCATCCAGCATTTGACCACTAGATTTAATACCCAAAATTCAACTTGAATTGTGCTGCCTCCCTTCCTAAAAAAGTCTATTGTATTCCCATCAACTCCTTGAACTGGCATTTGAATCTTTCCATCAGCCATCTCCCACCTCCCTTCCAGCCTTATCCTCCATTAACCTCTCTCCATGAGCACTATTTGCTTCACACGCCCTGGACTTCCAGGCCCTGTGCCTTTGTACCTACCTGCCTTTTACCCCTTCTCCCCACAGCATAGTCCCATTTGTTCTTAAAGACCTGTTCTTGTGTCAATTTAGAGTCTTTCCTGATATCTCAAGCTAAGTATTGCTGTTGTCTGTCTCCCACGTACTCTGTGCACTCAGATTCAATTTGGTCCTCTCAGGATCTAGTTCGGAACATGGTGGGTACCTGTGAAATATTTGTCAAATAACTCAATGACCCAGGTCCTTAGACATTGTGATTGAGTTAATGAGGAGCACACTGATAAGGGCATTATGGGAAATCTGCAGGAGTACTTGCCCCAGGCCCCACTTTTTTGCTGCCAGTAATCTCCCATTTATTCATAATGTCTCTTTCCCCACCTTGAGCAGACTGGAGGTCAGTGGCCCCCATCTGGGCCCCACCTGTGGCTCCTGCATGTGGTGGCTTGGGAGTGCTGAGGACAGTCCCCCCCACCCCACCCCAATAGAACTTTAACTTGCTCAAATGGCATCCTAACTTTGGGACCCTTCATTAAGTCCATTATCCACATTTTGTTTTCATCCTCTTCTCATTTGTTGTTACAGACTTGGGGACAGAGAGCGTCAGTGGCACCCTCAGTTCACTTCAGCAGTGTAATCCTAGTGACGGCTTTGACATGTTTGCCCAGACAAGAGGGAACTCCTTGGCCGAGCAACGCAAGACGTATGTTGGGATCATTTCAGTGGCTCTCAGAAGATATGGGGGGAGGATTGATCCAGGCCTGGTCACAGGCCAGCACAAAGAGGCCTTTTATTTACCAGGGCCAGGACTGCCAAGAACTTTGAAATATGGCTGTAAGGACTTGGTAGTAGACAGAGATGTTGAATGAATACTAACCCATCCCCACATCCCCTACCCCCACCCCCACTCCCGCCTTTGGGTCAATTGTAGTTGGATTTCTCCTGTCAGTCAGAGAGTGCTCTGTTGTTCTCTTTGCTTCTTTTGCTGCTGCTGCAAGAATTTCATCTGTAGGAGGAGCTGGGAGTCTGGAGGGTGCAGCCAGACAGGGAGTGAACTGGTTCTAGGCAGCATGGATTTCTGGCCCAAGGGTGTGGACAGAGGCTTCTCTAATAGCAGCTCTAGCCAGGATGAGCCATATGGAATTGGAGGTGTTTATTCCAAAGTAGATAATACCTTGCATCTCAGAGAGGCACCAGAACAGGCTTCGAGCTTTCTGTTCAGCCTATAGGCAGGTGAGGAACACTTTTCCCCACCTTTCCTAGAGGCACAGCATCTTGATGCATTCAGCTTTCCGAGTCTCATGCTCTGGAATCAACAGGTTGACCACAAGCCCAATGTCTCATGTACCCTTCACCAGCAAAAGTTGCTTTTAAAAGGAATACAGTGAAAGAAGTCAGGGACCAGAGGAAGACAACCTTCAGAATCCGTTATAGACCCCAATCCAGACCTTCCTTGTTAAATACCACTAAAGCTGCTTCTTTTAAAATAAGAAGTAATATTACTTTGGCTTTATCTTGCCCCTCCCTCTGAGCAGTCTCAGGGCATGTCTGACATCCTGTCACTGAGCTTTAGAGATGCCTAGTGTTACTTAAGAAAGGATCCTTGAGATGCAGTGTCCTGACCTCAGAAGAAATGAGTGGCTGAGCCAGTGCTAAAACCCAGGCAGGCCTCTTAGCTTCAGTAGCAGTCAGACTGACAGACGAGCCCTTAGCCTCTGCCCAGATGCCAGGGCTGTGGGAAATGTTTTTCCAAGTACATGTGGGGAAGGTGCCACGGATAGAAAGTGATTATAGGTCACCGTCCCAACGCCTTTGACCACTATGGGGAACTGACTCTGCTTGTGCCGCTTGTCTCCAGGGTAACCTATGAGGATCCCCAGGCTGTTGGAGGACTTGCTTCTGCACTAGACAATCGGAAACAGAACTCCGAAGTGGTAGGTCTTGAACCCTGTTTTTCTGCCTAGAGTCCTCTGGAGGGAAAGTCAGGTAGTTTGGTAAAGCTGGCTGGATAATTAAGCAGAAGCTGGCTTGCATGGAGGGCAGACTGGGATGAGAGTACTGTATTACCTCATCGAGTTCTTACCCCACCCCATGGGTGACACCCCAGGTCAGCTTTCCCATTTCACCTGGAAGGAACAGGCCCAGAGAGGTGGTGACGCCAGCAAGCAGACAGCAAGCAAGCTGGAGTCCACTCCCTGGAGGTGTGCCTCCAGAATCCCTGCTCTTCCTATCTTGGTGGCTCCAAGCTCTCAGAGCACAGGTCTCCTATGACCAGATAGGGTCTTTCCCCAAATGTTACAGTGCCCCAGGTATGGCCAGTGCTCTGAAATAATAATGACCTTTACAAGGAAGGGAAACGCTGATCTGAGCCATATTTCTACTGATCATTTGTAGCTGCCCTAGAGAAACAGTACCAGCCCCATTAGAAGGCAGTGGATGGTCTGGATTTGTTGGGGAAACGGGCTGGAGGGATGGGAGGAGCAGTTGAGCGGTGACTAGGAAGGAGGGTGTTCTGGGAGGCCCTATGTCTGGAAGGAGCAGAACTAAATGCAGAGCTACTTTGAAGTGAAGAATGATGCTTGTTAGAGCCCCCAAATGTAGCCCTGGTTTTTGTAAGATTTTAGATCATTGTGGGGATGGAGGGGGTGGGGGGAGGATTTGTGTCTTAATGCTTTTCATGAGATTGTTCCCCTTTTTGCCTAAGAAATGTGTGTGGCAGTGTGTGAACGAATGTTTGTTTGCAGGGGCAGGAAAGGGGAGGGCTATTAGGACAATAACCCCAGAACTGCTAGAATGCCTTTTCAGGGTCTCCCAGTTGGGCTAGAAAGGGGCAGTGCTCATCTGTCCACTAGATGGGAAGGTTTGCTCCCCAAATACTAGTTGTTGGCCTCTTGCAGCCCTTGTTCACACGAGCCCAGGCAGGAAGCAGTGCTGCAGCCTGGTTTCCACGGGGAAGCTCTCCTTGGGGGAAGGAACTCCTTCCTTCATCTGTAGGATGTACGTCCCACTGCACTGACCACCAGGGGGCACAGAAGAGCCAGCCCCACTGCCTTGGTTTCTCAGTACCCTGCCTTTCCACAGAAGGGTGGGCAGTGCCACCTGAACTTGAGACCGGGACTCCCGAAATCTATGCAGTAATCATGGTTCTGTCCCTCCCATTACTTAGAGTGTTTTCCCACCTAACTCAGGGAGGGTGTTAGGGAGCTGAGCTGAGGGCCCATCAGCACACTGCCAGATGAGGACATCCCCTCCCCCTGCCCCACCCTGTCCTGGCCTACAGCCCATCTCTCAGCAAGGCTGACCTCGTTTGTTTTCCAGTCTGCCTCCAGGGCCTGCTCTGTCCATGCCAACGTGTGTCCTAGCACAGCTCTGCCATTATCAGTGCCCACACCTGGGTCTGAGTATAGGCGATGTGGCCAGCTTCCTGCCCTTCACCCTTTGGGTGTGTGGCTTGGCCAATCTCCCTGTTTTCAAAGGTCTTGATGACTCCAGCACGTTTTCTACATGATGGTAGACATACTGCTTTTCATGTTTACCGCTCCATGGGGCAGCGAGGGGAAGCAGAGTTCATGTTAGCTGCGTGTCTGTCTCTGTGTATCTGTATATGTCTATATGTGTTTGTATATCTCTATGTGTATCTGTGTCTTGTGTGTATGTGCCTATGTGTGCCTGTGTCTATGTGTTTGTGTCTCTGTGTGTGTATCTGTGGGTGTGTTTCTGTATCTCTGTGTATGCCTGTCTGTATATTCTTGTGTCTGTGTGTATGTGCCTGTGTCTATGTGTGTGTTTGTATATCTCTGTGTGTGTCTGTGTGTCTGTGTAGCTATGTGTGTGTATCTCTGTGCATCTTTGTATCTGTACACACACACTGACTCATGTATATCTTCAGGCTAGTGCTTCAGCTTACGGTGTTCCATATCTTAAACCATGCTGGCCTGGAAATGAAAATGCATCAAAGTAGAAATTAAGAACACAGTAAAAGGGGCGGGGCGGATTGTGTAGCCACACCTCTACAGTGCAACCAAATCAGTAGTCTTAACTTTAAATACTTTTATCATTTAAAGAAGGACAATATAGCCAAATTCAGCGTTCAAGTTAAGAGTTTGGAAAAAGAATACACAGGTAACTGAGAAAGAGGAAAAAGAGAAGAAAAAGTAGAAATAAGTTAGAAAAAAGTAGAAATGGTTCTGTAAAAGTGAGTTCTTTGATAAGTTGACCCTTTGCCAACCCCAAGAGCCCTAATTGAGAGAAGCAGCCCTGGGTGATCTCTGTGACCTCACAGATTTTCCAAGTGTATGGGAATGGTTGGCATGAGTACATGTTACCCCATTGGGATTCTTGGTTACTAAACTTCTCTGCTCTTTTCCAGGTAGGTAAGGGGGACATGCTTGGGGGCAGGGGGTTTGTGCTTCAGGTCACATCTCCTTACATGACAATCAACTCCGAACGGGGGCTTTTCTATTTCCACAATATATACTATTGCTTCTTTATCATGGGTCTTGCTGTGACTTTTCTTTCTGGGACTTTTCTGTCCTCCATCCAGAAGAGAGGTAAAGGTGGGGACTCTGACCTGGAGCCCATAGACAGCTGGCTCATAACCCAAGGAATGGTGAGAGGTCACCAGCTGAGCTGAGCCCCTTGTCTACCCCAGCGCTTACCTGTGTCACCTGCTGAGCCCTTGTGAGTCAGACAGTACAAGGCCATTCTCCTTCTGACGTGGTGCCAAATTTTCCCCTCCTGTCTTTGTATAATCTCCTGAAGCCACACACGTCCAGCGCCAGGAGCGCCTCCTCTGGTTTTCTGCTGAGGTCCATGCCCCTGGGCCTTAAGGGTCTGGGCATTTTCAGGAATGGGGGGGGCCCTTCCCTCCTTTTACTGTCTCTGGAGCACTCAATAGTATTCACTTTTCCAGGATGAGCACAAGTTACTGTGGCTTTTGCATGGGAGGGGATGTTTCTAAGAGAATAGACTCAAAGCATCTGACTGGTAGGGGAAGCCCCCTCCAGCCTATGAATTTGGTGGTCCTAGGCAGATGAGTTTTAATAATGTAATTATTTGTGCTTACTATGTCCCCCAGAGGATCTGAGACCTCTTAAAGAAACACAAACACAATAGGAACAGAATAAAAACACAAAGGCAGAGGAGTTTAATATCATAAATGTAGTTAGTTCTGAGGAAGCAGAGCTCTCTGGGCACAGAAGCCTGGGAGGTTCTCTCCTGCCTCATCTAGTATCCCTGAGCATGGTGCATAGAGAGAGTAACCTCGTTCCAGGCTGCTTGCCTTGGAGTAATGATATCACCTCTAATGAAGCCACAGCCCTCATCAAGTACCTCTAACATAGACACCAAAGGTCTGTACATATGTGGTGGGCTGAAGTGGGAGAGGATGCACTAAAGGGAAGATGAGAAAAGCAAAGAAAGGGTAGGCCTCTGCCCTGCAGCTAGAGTGGGGAGACACTGGACATATACCAGGTAAGAAGCATAACTGACCCTTGGAGACCATGCCAGGCTGTGGCTAGGCGAGGTATATTCAAGCAAGGCCAGTATGTTAAGGCAGCACAGGGGGTCACCTGCCTGAACAAAATGTTACCAGTATGCAAGGATATGGGCCATGCAGGGCCATCAGAACCATTGGGGTGAGGGGTATATGCCTGTCACCTGGCTTAAAGCTGATGACCTTTACACATGCTCAGATGGGGCCCATCTCCCTCCACCTGTCAGAGCAGCAGGCACTTCATCTTGATGTTCCTGCACCAGACCCCACAGCCATTCTTAGAGATATGGGCTACCTGGGCCCCTCATTTGCTTCTTTAGAGACAGGCTGGGGCTCTGGCCCACATGTTGGGTGGCCTTAGAGTAGGACTCCTAGAGGCCATGTCCACTCCATTGTTCAAATTGGGGGGATCCAGCCATGTGTCTTTGTGCCTATTAATCCTGCAAAAAAAGGATACTGTCCACAAAAACTACCCTGAGTGTGGCCTTGGCAGCTGGTGGTAGTACCTGCCTCTGCCTACACACTGTCCTATCCCCTCCTAGAGCTACAGTCTCTGACTTCCCAGAAACAAGCTCGACTAACAGCTAACCTGGTGTCTCACTTGCCTGACTACAGTGTTTTTTCTTTTAAGTGATGTACATTAATTGCTTTGCCCTATTTCCTGTAGCATAAAACCCTGAGTCTTTCCAAACCTCCCAGGTACAAATTCTTTACTTGGAAACTTTTTGTACTATTGAGTGAGACCAAAGGACTCTTAGACCACTCCTCACATTGGGGAGGCAGTGGAAGCCCTGTAGGGAGGACTGCACTGGAAATAGCACACCCGAGCAACAGAAATTGCTTCTGTTGCGTTGGAAATCAGAGTTAGGTTTCCTTGTGGGTTGGAGTTGTGGGAGACAAAGCCTCACTCTCCTGGGACTTTAGGTGTTTGGATATTCAGCAACAAAGTTAACAATACCAGGCTCATTACCAGTTGAAGAAAACCCTGAACCATCTTGAACCAGCCTGCTCAGAGAATGCTAGTGCGTGTGCTCTTCCTCCCCCTACCCTAGCCTCCTGCCTCCAGCTCGTGGGCCTTTTTTTGGCTGGTGAACAGAAAGAAGTGTCCCCCATATTCAATTGCAGCCAGGAAAATATCCAGATATGAACAAATATAAGGCACAAGAACAGAAGTAGGTTAGTAAAAGTCTGCTACTGCCAAAGCCCGGGTTTGGGATGGGAGGCAGAGGGGCTCCCTACTCATACCTGGAGGACCTCCAGACACAACAAGCCTGAGGCCACCAAGGGCACTAGCTGTGGCTGAGCCAGTGGCAGCACCTCTCTCCTTTGGGCAGGTGACCCTACTGCTCCCTAAGCAAAGCTGCCCTGACGGCAGCCAAGTGAGGGTCAGCTGATAGACAGCTCACCCACCATTCCTGTCAAAATCTGCTGCTGGCATCCGACGTGCCTGTTTCTCTTTGCACTCTGAAGATGGGCAGGGCTCATCTCGCCATTGCCTCTGCCAAACTGGCCCTGTCCAGCCTATCTTTAGAGCAAGTTAGTTCTAGGCCCTGGTCTTTATTGGAGGGAGCTCCTGGACTAGCTTCTTTTATGTCTCTCTCTTCACATCTCTTTTCCCTTTCTGTCTCCTTCTTTCAACTCACACTCTTCTTCATACCACTTGGACCAGCCTTCAGCTTGGATGATTGCCCAGAAAGATACTAAAACCACAGTAGGTCAAAGCCCACAGTCTCTAAGGGATATGCTGGGCCTCACAGGGGCCTGGTGATGTGCCCAAGGCCACAGGGCAGTGACAGAGTCCAGTGCCCTATTCTTCAGTCAAATCTTCTGCTTCTCTTCCATCAGCTTGGATGTGGAAGCTTCCTCTTCCTCCCTCACAGTTTCTCCAGTCCCTATATGCAGAGCAATGTACACGTTTAGTTTGCGTCGGATAGTGCCTACATCATTAGAAGGGACTTTACCCTGGTGTGATACTCAAAGCGCTGATTTACCTTAGAGCAGGAGAGTTATATAGCTAAAGTGTTGTGTCTAACCACAAGCAAGTCAATCCCTGCATTCCCTTATATAATAAGCTTTACTGTTAAACCACACCCAAGCTCCTCCTTGATTCATGCCCTGAGGCAAAGTGCCTTTTCGACTGTAAAGATTTAATTCCAGTAATTTCTGGCATCCTGGAGTTTCTGAATTTGAAAACATGCAGACCTAACTGGAAGTTAAGGGATTCAGAATCCTGAGTAGTAAAAACTAAATAAGGCCTGGCAGATGAGGAAACCAAGGCCAAGAATTGCCCAAATCCTTGCAACTCCTGTTGCCTCTCCACCTTAAGCTCTGAGGCTTCTTAGGACAGCAGAGGCTAGGAGCTCCCGGTGAAGAAGCAATTCCAGAGAAAAGCGACTCACTCCAAGGCCTACACCAGTGAGTGCTGGGAGCCTGCTGAGCCCAGCCTGTCTCTAGCCCAGAGCTCTCTCCTCAGCTTGCCTCAGTGCCAAGCCTGGAAGATGCCTTTCCGTAAGCACACTACTTATTTGGAGAAGTCTAGGAGAGGGAAGAAAAGTATTCCCATGATCTAGCATTGGGGGAATTTTTTTTTTTTTTTTTTTGAGGTGATGAGGAGTTTCTCAAATATCAATGTTTATTTTCTGAGCACACTTGCTCTCAAGATTAAGCCTCAAAGAAGAAAACTAGAACATGATCCCCGGGCTCAAGGAATGTATTTTTGAACAGTAACAAAAAAATTATAAGCAAAATCTGAAAGTTTAGGACCCATGGCCCATTAATGGCTTTTTTCAAGCTTTTGCAACACATTGGAAACCTCTGTCCATGGAATCTTCATTTCTCCAGGGTGGACTGAAGCTGGGTAGATTTAAAAAAATAAGAACAAAATAAAGCCCAGTGTGCACTCCAGCAGCTGCTGTCGGGCATGTTTTCTCTTTGGAGATGCGCTGGCTTTCCAAGCTTTAGGTCTAAGAACTTGGCATGGCTCACATCCTCCCAGAGGCCAGGCATTCTGACTTACAAGCATCAAGATAATGAAAATTGGCATCTCTTGTCATGGGAATGTGTCAAGGCATAAGTCCTTCCAGCAAGCATAAAATTAGCAGATCGCGCGTCCTGCTGCTTTCTTTTCGATAGGGAAGGTAGGTGCTGCCTTCGCTGCTGTTAGCACAGCCATTGGGCATTTGTGCCCTCCAGAGTACAAATCACATCTTTGTCCCTAGGAGTCATTTCAGGTTGATTTGAACTCCTTGATATTTTTTTATTTCAACATTCTTAAGTCTCTAGTAAGTCAAAGAAATAAAATGAAAACATAGAATCTTCCTAATCTGATCAGGGTTGGCTCTAGCCTTTATGAAAATGCATGTGAATTGCCCACGCTGGGTCTGTAGTTAGGCCCAAGCACATGAAGCTACTTCAGTTCACCAGAGTGAGAGGTCTTCAGCCTCGCTGAATGTGTGCAGAACTCCAGCCAAATCAAAGACACCTGCTAAGTGTACTTGGGGATCTTCGAAGTCATCACTCTACCACCTACCCCATCAACAGCAGGTTTCTACCTTTAGGGGTGGCTTCGCACATCAGGGCAGGGCTGGTGATATGAAATCTTCCTCCTCTTTTGTTAAGGTCATGTTATTTTTTTAGATTTGGAAAACACTAAGACAATCCTTTTACTGCTTATTTTAACATTATTCTTACCCTAGATTGTGACATTGAGAGTGAAGCCAGCTATAGACTCAATGCTGGCAATTTCTTCTAGAAATATTGGGCTTGCGAGTGAGCCACTGGGAGGTACTTCTCAAACTCAGGCTAGGTGGGGAGGTAGGTCACCTCGATTAAGATCAATCAAAACTCATTTCTCTAGGCTGGGAGCCAATATTTCATTAATGTGGCTTTTAGAAGGTTAAAGGTTACACTTACTTCCTATCCTGTTGTATCTGACAGCAACTTAAATATTTCTAGCCAAATACATTTTTCAGAACACTATCTCCAAGGCCCTTGGCACGAGTGACCAACCACTGCATGGAGACTGCTCAGGCACCCAGTCACCCCCCTGGCCACCGCTCCCCAGATTTCATGCTCCCCAGATCTCAGCTGAACTTCTGTCTTTGACCGCTGAAGCACAGACAGCCATTGAAAGCTGGAAAGAAAAGGCAAGACTAAAGGAAGCTGTTGAATTCAGACCTGCTTAGTGATTTTTCTCCTAAAGAGACACAAAGATGACTAAAGCCCGGCAATCTCTTTTGCCATCAAAGCCTTTGTTTTTGCTGAGTTTCTGTTAGTGGCGAAATGTGCCTGCTTTCTGTTGGCCAGGCCACACCCAGGTCACCAGTGTTTCTTTCCCAGTCAGAGGTACACAAGGACACATTTTGAAATACTTTCAGTGAGCAAACAGAGCCCCAGTGGAATCTCAGGGCTGGCTGCGGTGCCACCTGACCACGTGCACTCCTGTTCTGGGCAGACTGCCACTTGACCTCCCCAGTGGCATCAGGGGCCCGCTGGCGGCTCCTCAAGTAACCCCCAGGGACTGGGCTTGACAGTAGAGAGGCAGTACTCCTCCAGCTGTCATCAATGATGAGTTCAAAATCAGCCTGCAGGAGCAGTGCATTTCTGAGATTAAAAGGTTCTTTGCAGCCTGGGCCGAGAGGCCCATGATGTGAGAGCTGATACCATAGTCAAAAAGTTCTCCATTTCAAGAACTTGTACTGCCGCCCTCCCTCCCCACCACTGGTCAGTCCTGCTTCTTAGAATTGGCCTCCTCATCGCTTTCCTCACTTGCCATTTCATGTGGCTGCCTCATGTTGCTCGTGCCTGCTGTGCCGATGTGTTTTTTTTGCTCTGTGTATGTTTTAGTTTTATTTGGGGGTTGCTTTTGACGATTTACTTTGTTCGGTGTTCTGTCTTCCCTCGCCTGGCTGTGGGGCTGCCTGGCCTGCTGCTTGCCGCCTCCATAGATCCCTGTTGCGCAGCCCTCTGTCATGGACGACATTGAGGTGTGGCTCGGGACGGACCTGGTGAGACTTGACTTTTCTCTTTCGTCTGTGGGGTGTAGCAAGGCAAAGGTGCTTCTGAGGAAAGGCCTTGGGGACACTGGAAGAGGCCACTCCCCCAGGGAGTGGAGTGGCGGAGGAGGGAGGCCAGGGCAGGCATGGCTCCTGCAGCTACCAGATCCTCACAGCTGGACTTCCCCTCCGACACCTGTGACCTGCAGAGGCCAGAGAGAATGGAGTCCTGAGCTGGGCACTGCCCCTTAGCCCTCAACCACCGGTTGGGCTACAGTGAAAGCTAGCTCCATCTGGCTCCAAAACACATTTACTTTTTCCTATGACTTTTTAATTTCAGGTGTGTATGTGCTTAGGTTCTTTTTTTTTGGGGGGGGGAGTCATTTTAAGATATTTGTTTTATTTTCATTTCTTTTAATTGTGACATATACATAGAGACGAAGCGTTTTTTGGGTTTTTTTTTTTTGTTTTTAATTCACTGTTATCTCTCTTCCCCAGTATCATCTGGTATCTAGGATCTAAAAGAACCCCTGCTCCAGAGACCATTGTCTTTGTACCCAGATATAGGGCAGGAAGTTGAGGACATCATGTATCTGCAAATGGCAGCAGGTCCTGAGAAAGGAGAGCTTCAGTGGCCAGTCCCTCCCTCTGGTTTTCACAAAGCACTTTCACTCTCAGAAACCTGTGCAGGGAGGCAGGGTGGAGGTTGTTGGCTAAAGGCTGATGAAGAAATGTACTTTGGGAGAGGATATAGCTTGCCCAAGGTCATGGGCTGGTTGGATTCTCTCCCAGACCTAGAGACACCTCATTTCTTGCTTCTAGCTGCCTCCTCTTCAGGGGGCCCTGTCCCCAGAGCAAGGAAGTTTTTTAATCACAGGGCTGGCTTAACTGGCTGTGGGCTGCAGATGTGGTCCCCTCCCATAGGAGGACAGTAGAGCTCAGATAGGGCCTCCCACTGTTCTGGGCCACCTCCCTGGAAGACCAGGCTTTTTGAAGACACTCATGGTCACCCAGGTGCCGTGCCATGGGAGAAGAAAATGCCTCATTATATCTTTCTCAAAGGAGTACCTAGAAAAGAAATAGCTCCTCTCACAGAAACAAAGCAAGAAGGGCCAAGGCCCTCAGCTCACAAAGGGGACCCCCAAGGTCCAGAAAGAGGGAGGAACCTGACAGGCAAGGCTGCACAGCAGGTTAGCGGCAGAGCCAAGAAGGAAGCCAGATCTCCTGGCCCAGCCCAAGGCCTGGTCCACTTTCCATCTGGCTCCCTTCCCTGTCACTGTGCAGTGAATTTCCAGTGACCACCACATTCTCCAAACAAAATCAACTCTGATCCACTCTCATTAAGAGCTCACAGAGCCTCCACGACTCCTCAGGACCGGCAGCAGATTATAGAATCTGGGCCACAGGAGGAGGCTGGCTCAGCTCCTAGGAGGCCATGGGACATGGCTTCCAGCTGGACAGTGCTCCACTGCCAAGCACTTCCTAGTGTTATGCCCTGTGCCATGGGCTTCATGGCTCTGGCCCTTATAGGCCTCATGTGGTTCTGAGCTGTTGACATAAACAGTGACTTCCTAGAACCCTGCAGCTGGCTGCAAAGGAACACTGAGTAGAGGAGCACCTGAGGGAGCCCTCAGCATGCCTCCGGCTCAGCCTCCTTGTGGCCCCCTCTGGGAGACATGGATGAGCAAAGGCCTGCCACGGTTCTGCCCCACAGCTCAGCCCAGAGAGCCAGCTTGCATCTTTTTTTGGATTTTTCTTTTGGGCCCTTCTGGAGGATCAAAACCTAGAACCTACTGGAGCGGTTTTTGTTTTTGCTTTTTCTAAACAAAGTTTCTGTTTCTCCAATAAGATAAACAGTACTTTGGTATTGTGGAACTCAGAACAAGAAGTAGGACGTTTTCTTTGGGCTGTCGTGGGCAGCGCGGCCCTGGGGTGGCTGCTGGTGGGGCCCTAATGCATTTTCTCTGCTCCTCCCACAGAAGGGCGACGACCTGGAGGAGGGCGTCACGAGTGAAGGTATGGCCTGGCCCATGGCTTTACAGCACAACCTTGTCCCCTTCATTTGCTGCTCTCGCGCCGGGCTCTTGGGGCGCATAGGGGCTGTCACTCCCACCACCTTGGAGCCTCCACTACCGGAGTACCTTCTAGTACCTAGCCTGAGCCAGGCCTTCTGGGCCAGAAGCGTCTTGGTTCTGTTCCATCCAGGCCTCGTGCTGATGAGGGAAGTGTCAGAAAGAGCATGCGACAATTGGAAGGTCACAGAGCTAGTGAATAGTAGGTACAGTGGATCCTAGGTTAGCATGATCTCAAAACCTGTACTCCTAACCAGTTTGCCCCACCCCCAAATGCTCAATCCAGCAGAGGCAAGACATATGCCGTGCGGTCCACAGGGTACACAGGAAGCCTCTCCAGGCCTAGTGTCCTGTGACCTCACTTCTGGGGGCCAGCTATATAGATCATGTGGGGAAGTTCCCATCCCAGTCTCCCCCGCATTCCCCTCCCTCTCTCATTCCCCTTCTCCTCCCATCTTGCCTCTCCCTGCCTCCCCTGCAGCCCACAGGCCTTTCCTCTACACTGCCTCCTCGTTCATCCAGACCATCTGGTCAGAACCCCTCCTCAGGTGTAGAACCTTGCTTGGTGCAGGGGGAGGGGTGATGTTCCCTCCCGAGTTTAAGCAGGACTCCCCACTGCAGCCCTGCCTTTTGTGCTGATAAGGAGAATGGAAAAGCTCCAAGTAGGCTGGGGCAGAAATTAAAGCTGCTCCCACTTATAACTGGGCTTCCTACTTGTCCTAGAGGTGGCAGAGGGAAATTGAGGCTAGGCCCCCGGGCAGCAGAGCACCCAGAAGCACCCCTGGCTCTAGCTAGCTGCTCACCTGTCACTCACTGCTTCTTCCCCGGTAGGTGTCCCAGGCCAGTGTGGCAAGGGTGGGGACTCATGCTGAGGTGACCCTGTGAGCACAAGTGAGTGGGGCTGTGTGGAGAGCAGATAGGATGCGGCTGTTTGAGCCTCAGTGTGGGCTTAGCCCCACCACCAATCCTGGCTCTTGCCTTGGTTTTGTGTTGCAGAGTTTGATAAATTCCTTGAAGAAAGAGCCAAAGCTGCTGAAATGGTTCCCAACCTCCCCTCACCCCCAGTGGAGGCCCCAGCCCTGGCCTCAAACCCCTCCGGCCGGAAGAAGCCAGAGCGGTCAGAGGATGCCCTCTTCGCCCTGTGAGCTGTTCTGTGGTTTGGCTTCCCGATGGCAGGTTACCTCTTGTCCCTGTCCATACCAGGCACTGGCCACTCCTATTCCCAGCCCCTACTTGGTCCTGCGTTGCTGTGTCTCCATGGAAACACCACTGTGTTTGCTCCCAGGCTTCCCATTAGTCAGGACCAACTTAAGCCACCTTCTTTCTAGTGGTGGGACAGCATCACTGCAGCCAGAGGCCCCTCACCTCCCCCATCCCACCTCTCTTGCCCACAGACTCCCTCTGTCCATGTTTCCTCCCAGGAAGAACAGATAGCAGAGCCCAGCCTCAGACAAGGCAGTCTCCTTGGGACTGTTTCCTGAGTGGACACTAGGACTGTCTCCTCCTGTCACCTGCCCACAGAGAAGGGGGTCAGATCCTGGCTCCTTGCCCCATGTATCCCGTCCCCTGTCTTGCTTAGTGGGTCTCCGTGGTCTGGCCTGCCTTCCCATGCCCCTCTGATCCAGAAAGGGCTTATCTACACCTGCAGGCTTGGTCTCCCTCCTGGACTACTGCTTCCTGATGTGTGTCACCTTGTGGCACTGGGTGTGCTCAGCACTTTAGAAGGCTCTGTGGGGTGCCCATATATGGGGGTCTCTCAACTTCTTGACTCTCCATCGCTCAGCAGCCAAGCTGGGGACCAAAGGGGCCTCTCATGGCCCCACATGCTCCTGGCATGGGAAGAGAGAGCGGGGTGCTGGGAGGACAGCACACAACCAATGGACAGTGGCTACGTGGCATGCCGGTTAGCTCCTGCAGAGATGACACTACCATAAATCAAACTGCCCCCATGCACAGTACATGCTCCCCTCACACAGCTGGCCCAGTCTGTGGAGGGGCCCGCACGGGGAAGAATTGCTCTGGCTTGCTTGGGAAAGCTTTGTGGGTTTTGAGCATGCTCTGCTCAGGGCTTTAGCCTGGTCTGTGGCAGCCTCTATGCCTCCACCTCCAGGGCCCAGCAGCAGACGGCTTTGCACCACGGTTGGAGATTCAAATGACTGATGGGCCAAAGCGACACTAAAGTCCTTGCACTGTTCCTTGGCATGGGCCTCAGCCTTCTCCACAGATTGTTTTGACAGCCCGACCTCCCACTCCAGATCCTCCCAGGCCACCGATTTGTATCCTCTCCCAAAGCCAACCTAGAAGGCAACAGAGCCTGGGACCGAGCAGCTAGAGGCTGGTAACACCTGCTCCCATCCTGAGTCCTCATTCGTGTGTGTCCTGGCTATGGGTAAGGCGCTCTTGGTTCAACCTGGGCCGAGTCCAGCCTGAACCACTCCTGTGCTGCTGTTGCCCAGAACAAAAGTGCTGCGTAGCTGCTTCACACTAGCTGGTGATCTCTGGAGCCTTGGCCAGGCCACCATGTGTTCGTGACCCATAATGAGGTCAGCTCTTCCCACCTGGCAGCCCTAGCAGAAAGAAGCAGCTGGGCTTGATGTAGGCAGAGACCAGTGCCACAGTCTCTAGCCAGGGCATTTAGGACCAGCTGAGGGGCTGTGCTGAGCATCAACAGGAACAGTTCTGGTGGAGGGAGGCACTGCATGCCCAGGAACCCCATGCCCAGTCTAGCACCGCTGCAGCTTCCTCCAGAGAAGAGGCCTGGGGTCTGGCTGGGAGGTCCATCTGTCAGGAGCAGCTGGAGACATCACATTCCAGTTCCTTAGAGGACACCCAGGAAGCTCTTCCCCAGAACTCAGCCAGCCTGATTCCAGCCCTGCCATCTCTGGCAGCTCGTGCCACACCCCCAACCCCAGCCCTTGGCCAGCTCACTCCTCTCTCAACATTTCTTGAGGGAAGAACCCCCTTTCCTAAGGCAGAGCCCCCTGAGGCTAGCTTGGATGTTAAAAAGTCTGAAGTCAGCTGGCTTGACATGAGCTGCAGAGAAGTTGGCTAAGATGGCCCAGTTGTACCCAGAAACCCCAGCCCTTTGGCACTGTCCAAAGGGATTGTCTCTGAGGGCCAGGGGCCTGCCTTTGCCAGTTTGCCAGCCCGTGGTGGTGGGCAGCTGGGCCTTGGGTGGTCAGTCCTGCAGGAGCCGCAGCACTACAGCAGCTGTCAAGTGTCCTCTGAGGGAAGAGCCAGTCCCCCTGTCTTTTGGAAGGAGAAGTCTCCACAAGACCAGGAGCCTGAAGGGTCTGGGGAGAGGAGGCTTCTGGTGGTGAGTGAAGCGGAAACATGTGCCTGCCTAGGGAGATCCCAGCAAAGCTGCTGTTAATATCCATGGTCCAGAGCTGCCCGCCCCCACTCCAGTTGAACAGTAGGCGGTGGATTCCTGTGGGCTGGCAGGAGGCATTGCCCCATGCAGAGAAGTGTCACCTGCTTTCCTGGCCTGGAGCCACCCCTTCTGCTCTCACATCATGTCCAGAGGCAGCCCGCCCCTATCTGGAAGTTGAGGTGACATTGCTTGAGGCCTGCATGAGAAGCAAGTACAGGCCCAGGCTTCCTTGAGGGGGTGCTGTTCAGCCCTTCCTGTCCTGAGGCCATATGCATCCTGGGCCACTGGGGATCAGAGCCCTGGCAGGAAAGCTGGCCAGAGCCTACCCCCAAGAGAGTGAGACCCTCGCGAGGCACTAGCCTCTCCACAAGTATTAGAAATCACAGATACAGTATGTACTTAGTTACCCTAAATTATTGCTGGGATTCCTCATAAGCACTAATTATACCTGATTATAGGTTAAAATATTTATTTCGTCAAAATATTTTCTTGAGGATGTGTTTAACCTTTTCTGTTTCATTATGTGAAAACCAAGATGTGAAAACTAACCATTTCCTCCTGCCTACCATTTTGGCAGTGGGCAGCAGTGATGGCACTAAGTGCAGTTTGACCCAGGGTCTGGTGGGCCTTTGGCCAGCCTACCCCAGAACAGTCCCTACCTGGGACTCCCAAGCACCAAGCAGAGATGACCAACTCGCTTATCCTCATGCATGGGTCAAGGGGTTTCAGAGCTGAAAAGGCTTGTTGTTGGCCTGGGCCAGAGGGAAAGGTGACTGTTCCTCTGTTTTCTGTCCTCCTGTCTTTCTGTCGATCAGCCCTCTCAGTGTGAATGACTGTGCTGCCTGTCATGGACCATGCCTTGGCTCACTGCCCTTCCCCTCCTCACCCAGGGGTCCAGAGCAAGGGAGCCTGGGGAGGTCACTCAAGTGAGGCCTGTGCTGTCACTCAAGGCCTCCAGCTGGAAGAGTGGTGGCCAAGACTCTGGATGGCCTGGCAGCAGCAGACACTCGGACTCCTCTAGCATCACGGGGCAGATGCTGCCTGGCCACTCACGCTCCTGCTTCTCCTCTTCCTTCCTGCCACCACACCCCCACTTCGCCTCCACACATACATGTTCAAACTCAGTCCGGCCCAGCCTTCTGGATGGTTCTAGGGGGCTTGTGGGTCAGCTAGGGAAAAACACCATGGAAGAATGCCGTTCTCAGCCTGGCCTCAACTGGCCTACCATGAGCCTCTCCACCATCTCCCGTTAGGATTCTGGGCTCCTCCCCTCTGCCCACCCATGTGGGGAGCAGCTGGCTTCACCACCCATGGCTGTGTGTGCCCAGAGGATGCCCCTTGTGGTACCTGCTGCTTTCAGTGCCCATCCCCAACCCTTCCTGTCCATGGGGGTCCAAACCAGTCTTCCCCTGCAACTCCCTCCTTGCCCCCCACAACTGTCAACCCCGGAGTCACACTACTTCTCTCCTCTAAAAATCCTTCAGGCTCTCCTGGAGAAAGAGGGATGGATATTTATTTCCTAAAGTTTGCAATTCATTTGTGAGAGTTCTCAGGATTGTTAGGGGCTACTGAGAAAAGGAATGTTTTGAGTTTGTTGTCCAGTTGTCCCAGAAGTCTGGTGTTCTGTCATTGTGTGCTTCTGCAGGCAGAGCCAGTTCTGGAGGTGGGTCAGTGCATTTGAAGCTCAGAGCAACACCCATGCATCCATCTACCCACTGGCTCTCCTTCCAGATATTGTCTCTCTAGTTTGCGATCTTGCATGGAAAATACTCCATAATAAACAAACAAACAAACAAACAATCTGTACCTGTGTGATCTCTGTTGCGTTGCCTGTGACTGTCAAAGGGCTGGCCAGATCTGACTCCCTATTTTCTTTAAGCAGAGGCTCCCTTGGTACCCTGCTGCGGGGAGCAGCCTGGGAAGCTCATTCCATAGCCTCTCCCCATGCCCAGCTGCCAAGGGAATCTGGGCTGGGGGAAAATCTCCAAGCCTGGGGCACAGCCCAGGTTTGGGGCACTGGTAGTAGCAGCTGTAAACCTGCCATGGCCTGCCTGAGAGTTCTAGGACCAGGTGCTATGGTTCTTCCTGTGTCTCATCCCTGGTCCCAGGTGTATGGGGAAAAGCACTCATTCCCTCACAGAGCATCCAAGATCTTGAGCAAGCAGCACTGAGCCACCACCTCAGTACCCCCTTAGCTAAGCTCCCCAAACTTGGCTGGGCCTTCACATAGTCTATAGAGCTTGTGCTAGGCACTGAATTTGAGAGTTGCTGCTCCAAGCACCAGCCTTCTTTTTAGTAACAGCTTTATGGAGATTCAATTCACATAGCATACAATTCACTCATTTAAAGTATACAATTATGTAGTTTTTAGTATAGTCACAGAGTCATGCACCCATAACCACAGTCAACTTTAGAGTATTTTAATCACCCCCAAAAGAAACCCCTACTCCTTAGCAGTTACTTCCTCCCTCCCCCACAACCCTCTCTCCATTTTAAAAAAGTTCTCCTGTCCTGGGAGCTGGGCACCCTGGGCACTTGCTACCAGACAGTGGGCCTCCAGGAAGCAGGCCCCTCAGGGAGGCTGGGAGTCCCTTTATTCCTTCACCTCCCAGGGTTCAAGGATGGACCTCAAATGGGGCAGATTCATCAAGCCCCCAGGTAAACCTGGAATAAATGCAAAGACATTGCTCAACCTCTGGTGTGCAGGTGAGGAGATGAGGTCTAGAAGAGCTGTATGCCTGCCTAAGTTCACAGGAGGGTCAGCAGCAGAACCAGCACTCAAAAAACCCAAACCTCAGGCCTCCCAGGCCAGGGCCATGGAGGAATGGGCAGGAAGGACACCATCTTCGTGACCAGTAAGTGAGGCTGCCCCATCTACCCTGAACCCCAGCCCTTCTGGGAGGGTAGCTCAGGAGAGGGCTACCCTGTCTGCTGCAAGGAGGTATGTATGGGGGGTGGGGGTGGACATGACCAGGAGTCACATTGGGACAGTCAGCAGCCCAGACCAGAAGTGGCAGTACCCATCTCTTATCAGCCAGTTGCCTCCCTGGGCTTTAGGGAGTTCTGCAGAGTCCCTGCCTGTTTCCAGTCAGAGTGAGACCCCTACACCTGTAAAATGTGGGAGACCCACAATCCCCAATCCCTGTAAATAGAAGTTGTAGACCCTGAGCCCATTCCCTGCCCCCAGCCCTGTATGAAGCACTGTGGGCACCAAAAGAAGGCTGAGCTGTGTCCCTGTCCTGTGGTGAGTGTGTGGGTCCTGAGACACTACCATGGACTCACCAGGACACCCAGTTCACTTGTGCTTTCAGCCCATGTATCTGAGAGCCTGCTGTGTGCTGGGTGGGTGCTAGAGAAAAGGGGCTGCTCAGCTACTGCCCTTGGGAAGCTCACAGCCTGGTTCAGTTCCCAGACTCAAGGGCACTCTGTAGCCAGGAAGCACTGGAGCCCCCTCCTGGGGCCTTTGGGGCAAGGAGGCTCTTGGGGAGCAGCCAAGCTGTTGCTGTTGTCATATGCAGGCCAACCACAAGTGAAGGAGAGGGAAGTCGTGCAACTGTGACTCAACTGACCAGTCTCCTGAAAGCTTCAAGATCTCTGGTGGGCACTTGCCAAGATGCATTTCCTCAATACATTAACAGCTGTCCCTTAAAAGGAGGGGTTCTATGGAGAAAGAAGTTTGGGAACTGCTGGAGTAGTTAAGCAGTGTTGGGACCTCTGTCCAAAATAAGGGTAAATTTGTAGCCCAAACTCCTCATTTAGAGATGGCATATTGGAACTTTTTTGGTTGTGGCAGAAAGAGGTTTGATTTAATCAGAAAGAGGAATTTATTGGCTAATGTAAGTAAAAAGTTCTAACAGTTCAGCTTCAGGTACAGCTCGATGCAGGTGCTTAAGGATTTGGTCAGGAATCTGCCTCTGCTTCCACTGGGTTGGCTCTTCCACATAGTTGACTGAAGACTGCCTGCAGCTCCAGCCTGACATTCTACTAGCAGAGAGAGAGTGCTTCTTTCCCAGTAGTTTCAGCAGAAGTCCGAGAACCAATCCTGAAAAACCAGACTGTTAGTAGAAGGAGGATGAAATCTGGGGAGGCACAAACGATAGATGGTCACTGCGGCGTGAGTGGAGAGGGCCAGAAGTGGGAGTGACACACATCAGGGGAGACTTAAATAGAGACGTGCTTCTGGACTGCTCCTTCAGCACTGCCTCCCCAGCCCTGGGAGGTCTCCCTTCACTGGAGTCCTCAGAGGAGCTGCTTTGCAGCTATAGTTTCCTTCTCCAGAGATCTGGGGCAGGGGAGCGTAGAAGCACTGTGGGTCCTGTCATGGCTCCTAGTCCTGGTCTCCCTGCCTGCTGGTTCCCCACGGAAGCAACTGAGGAGACTCTTGTTCCAACCAACCTCTTTTCTAAGAAAAGGGTCTCTTTTGGGTCACTAGGGGTTGGGGGCGGGCAGAACCAGTGGCCTTGAATAGGCATGACTCACCCAGAAATTCCAGTTTATTTCAGAGGAGCCCCTGCCAGTTCTTGCTGAGTATCCCTCAGAGGGATCTGGCCAGGGCCCCCAAGCCCAGAGCCTCAGCATCCCAAGAAGTAAAATCTCACTTCTCAGCACTAAGGAGTCAGTGGGATATTTCTAGAAACTAAGTGGACTCCTCTGGGGTCATCTCCTCTCCACCCCCATGCCCACTCTAAGAGTACCCTACTCAGGGTTGGAGGCTTCATTGTAGGTCCCTGAGCAAGTCACCACCCTTCTCTGGTCTTTACTCCTGATCTGTAAAGGGAGTCATGGGTGACAAACTGAATGCCTATAGAGTCCTTTTTATTACACTCATTTACAGTGAGTGAAGCAGGCTCGGTGTGCTACCTAGGGACTGATGGGGACTATGGGGAAGCTCATAGCCCTGGCTAGCTAAAGAGGCACCCAATTGTTGAGCCCAGTGTTGCTCAAAGTCCCATTTTTAAAGAATAGCTAGATCTAGCCTTCAGGTGAAATCTATATTGGACAATTAATTAAATATCAGAACCCATGTATAGTTGGATTTGGCCTGTGGGGGTCAGGTGATATCTGGAGTCTCCATTCACTCTCCCTGCCACCAATTCCACCCACCCAATCTGCGACACCTCCTCAGTCACCCCAAACAGCCAGTTGCTTCCTAGGGGACAGATGTCCCCCCTCATTCATAATGTCTGTGAGCCTCACCCCTCACTGTGCAGAAGATTTTGGGGGTTCAATCAGCTTTTGTGGAGGGTCTATTGAGTGATTCATGATGACCCTGAAGGTGATTACCATGAGCGAGCCTCCCTGGGCAAAGCTGACCCAGAGAGGCTCAGAGAGGGCTAGAAGTAACTTGCCAGTGCACAGCAGAGGCCAATCTGGAATGCGAACATAGGGTCATCTAGGATCAGAATCATTCATGTCAATGGCCACCTTGTTCCATTATATCCAAATGGAGAAGGGCAGGGAGGGGTGACCCAGGGCTCAAGGCTGGCTTGGTGATACACAGGCCCCTAAGCCATAACCTGGGCAGGCCCCAATTTGCCATTACAGAAATAAGGTATAAATGGGGGCTTTAGGAGTGAAGAGGGGTCTCAGTAGACTTCTAGGCAATGCTCAGGTGGCCAAGGCCAGAGTTTTTGCCTAGTGCTGGCAGCCATACCAATTCCCATGCCTGCCCCTCTACCCATAGTGGGAATGGTTGGGCACTCATGGCCTTGGCAGAGGCCTGGCCGGTGCTGGACAACTGCCTACAGAAGATGCCTTTCAATCTCTAAGACATTCTGGGATTCCTGGAGAAGGAAGAGGAAAAATGTGACCCCCTTTCTCACAGTTGGCAAAACCGAGGTCAGGCAGGGAGAGGCTAGGCCTTCTGACCGCAGTCCTGAGAGCTGGTGTCTGATGGCTAGGGGTGGGGATGGGGGAGCATCCCTGGTGTCCAGAAAGCACACCTGGTGGCAATCCCAGCCAGGTGTCTGGCCTGGATGCCCTGTGGAAAGAGCAAACCCAACTGGCCCCAGGGACCCAGATTCTGCCTGCAGGCACTATTTCCACCCCTCAATCCCCGGCCTCCAGCCTCCTGTGGAACAAGCGGGATGCATGTGATCCAGGGCCTGGCTCCCAGGAGTTTCTGGCTGACGCTGCTGTCACCCCACTTAGGGCTGGGTGCCCATTGGTTGTGCTGCAGCCTGCAGGGGCGGGGCTTTTCTGGCTCAAAGCCCCAACTCCCTTGGGTCTCCAGCAGCTGTCTTTCCCCAGCCTGCTGGAGTCAATCAGGGGCAACAGAGCTGTGAGGTCCTGGGCAAGTCACTTCACTTCCTTCTGCCTCGGTTTCCTCATCTGTAAAATGGGAATAATAGCCCAGTCCTCCTGGGGCTGTTAGGAGTACTAAGTGGATTAATGTGGGTAAGCTTAAGGATAGTAGCCAGTGAAGACACAGCTGGCAGCATCACTGTCATCCAGGCTGGGACCCCCTGCACTCCTTAGGCACACCAGGACAGAGGGGCCCACTACCACAATTTGTGCCACTGGGAGCCCTGATACACGTTCCTTGTGTGAGCTCAGATCCCACCCAAAAGGGCATGAGGGGCTTGTTTGGGCATCTCAGGACCCTTGAGGGGCAAGAACACAAAGAGAAAGCAGGTTCCCCTGAAGAACCTCAGCTCCTAGCCTTGGTGGCAAAGATATAACACCTCCCTGCCCATATCCCATCCCCCATAACACATATGTAAAGAGGCTACAGCCAGGCTTCAGTTTCAACTGGCCTTTCTAGTCTGGGCTTCAGGTTGCTTACTGAACTTGCCTTACCCCCTTTCACTTAACTTCTGCAGTTAGGGCATGCATATTTATTGAGCCATACTCTTTATATATGTGGTAAACTCATTTAAAGAATCATGAGGCAAGTCTGTTGTGACAATGATTCTAACACACCCTATCTGCTTCTGCAGATTGCTTGCAGGAAGGGTTATTCTCATTTTACAGATCCAATAGCTGAGACTCAGAAAGGTAAAGTAGTTCCAGGTCACGCAAGCAAGCGGGTGAAAAACCGGATCAGCTTCCTGAATCTGAAGAAAGCGGTCTTTAAGTTCACTCAGCAACTCCTTCTTTCCCCACTTCTCTTCCTGGGAAGCGCTATTAGAATTTTCAGAGAAGTCACCAGCTTCTCAAGGCCTCCTGGAGGGGCCAGGCCCTGGGTGGATCCCTGAGCAGGGCCACTTGGAGGAGAAGGGGAGGGAAGTGTGGTTTGGAGACTCCCACGGCTCCCGGACCTCCTGTTCTGAGTAATTTTCCACAGCAGCCACTACTGGGAGGGGAACAAAGAGAGCTGCATGTCCAAGATGAGCCCCAGGGATTTAGGCCTCCAAGGCCTCTCTTGGACTGGGCACCCCTCTTCTAAAGTACACCACTAATTACTCCCTCAGACAGTGTGGCCAGACAGGCTAAATCTGGAATCTGAGCGAGGAAGTATTCCAGATGCCATGACTCACTGAGGCCAGTGGCTAGGAGAGACTGGGGGTCCGGACCTCTGATAAGTCTCTCCTTGGCTGCCTTCCAAGAGTACTTTCTCTGCCTGCACAGCTCCAGGGACAGAAAGCTCACTGTTGTCCCATTTTCAGATACCTGAATGTTAGTTCTGATTTATTTCAATCCACCTCGTTGGGACCCCTCCCCTGCCACCTAGCTCTGTCCCCAATCCACAGGGCCCAGGGTTCAGTCTCCACCCCTGTCCCCAGTCAAGCTGCCTTCTTTGACCCAATCCTAGCCTGTCATGATCCAGGGCACCCCAGCTCAGATCTAAAGCACAAGCCACCTCTTTCTCATGCCTCCCCACTCCCCATACTGGCTGCTCTCAGGGACAAGGACCAAGTTTGGAGTCAGATAGCCCTGGAGCCCAGCTTGTTGCTATCGCTGAGTAGCTGTGTGACCATGGGCAGGTTGGCTCCTTATAACTCTCTGGGTCTTCCTGTCCTTCTGGGTACTGATGTCAGCCCACCTTCAGCGGCTGGACTGGGCCTACTGGTCCCCAAACCCATTTGCAGTCCCCACAGCTGGATCTGGAAGGAAAGCAGATTAAATCAGGATGAGAAATTCCAGTCTCTTTCAGGCTTCCCTTGGGATAATCTGATCTGAGACGGAGTTGGGGCAGGCTGATCTCACAGTCCCAGCCCTCCTCCATATATCATCACTAACATCCCAGCCCACCTGTGGAGAGGCATCATTAGGCTTCTTATAGCTGAGGAAACTAAGACAGAATAGTGATGTAATTTGACCTGAGGCCACACAGCAGGTATTAGAGTTATAACTGAGATGGGTCTGTCTTGTTCTAAAAGCCAGATCTAAATATGACGTTCGTCAGGACACCCCTCCAAGTCCAGAGACCTCTGGGACGGGCCCAGTCCTGGGGCTTTTACTCAGCACCTTTGCTTGGTGCTGGGGAAACTGAGGCCCAGAGAGAAGCTATAGCCTGCCCGAGCTCCGGTAGCAATGGACCAAAGGCAGCTGTGCATGAAGCTGGATGAAACGAATGACTGGAGGAGACTCTGGTGGAGGGGTAGGTTTGCGGAGCGATCCGGGAGCTGGGTCACCGCTCTCAAGGGTGGGGTGGGGCCGTCTACCAAAAGGCGGGGCCTTCCGTGCAGGGCCCCGCCCCCACTCCGCGCGCCACGCTCAGCGGCGGCAGGGGAACCCAGTTTCCGAGGAACTTTTTGCGAGCGCCAGGCTGCCACGGAGGCCAGGGCGGGACGCGAACGCGCTGAGCGACCGCAGCTACTGGCGCGGGCCGGCGGACGCAGCGCTCTCTGCGAAAGTCCGTGCGCGCCGGCGGGCGGCCGGGAGGAGGCTACTACGCCATGGACGAGATGCCCTTCACCGAGGCAGCCTTGGGGCAGGCGCTGGCTGAGCCGTGCGACCTGGATGCAGCGCTGCTGACTGACATAGAAGGTGCGTCAGGGGCTCCGGCTCTGTGCTGTGCGCGCAGGGCTTCCCTTGGTCTCTGGACTGGGCAATGCGAGCCTCGGTATCCAGTCCGCGCGGAGCCTCCTTGCGCCCGCCCTGGCGTCTCGGGCCGCGCCGTGCCGGGTCCCTCGGAGGTTCAGGTCCGGGCCCCGCGCCCCGCGCCGCGCGGCCGGTGAGTCCTCAGCTGCGTAGATGCTGTGGCGGGAGCTTGGGACACGGGCGTTGCTGAGGCCCCGCCCCTGCCCAAGCGATGACGTTAGCGCGGGGTTACTCACGGTCGTTCCCTCAGGCCTGAGAGTTCATTTCCGTGCAGGAGGCGCAGCGCGTCCTTCCTCCCCTCCCTCCAGAGTCTGGCTGTCCAGGTCCAAGACCTGCGTCGCTTCAGCATCTTCTGAATACCAGGCTCTGTCCGGGAGTTCACAGACAGACCGGAGCTTCTCCCCTTCTTGGGAGCACCAAAATCCCCAAGGAAACCCGCAGACGGATATTTAGTTACATCTTGGGATGGAGTAGAGGTGGGGCTACTTTGGGTACTGTGGTGGGGCAAAACCTAAATCTGGGAGTTGGGACCCAAGAGTCAGCCTTGGGACTGGCTGGGAAAGATGTTTTCCCGGCGGACAGAAGGTGAAGTTAGGAAGGTGGGCCAAAAGATCACCTGGCCTTGTCCTCCAGGGAAGGACAAGCTGCGCGACGCCAGCTTATTTACATCTTTTAAAAGCAACACATGCTGGTTGTTATACGGAGAAGGGGTTTGGGGACCACGGTCAGTCGGTGCCCTTATGAGGCTGTTTTTTTCACTTTGTAGGCTGTGCAAACCAATGCTCTAGCAAATTGCCCTCTATGGTTGCTGTGCAGATTTGGCAATACTGGCAAAGTTGCCACTTGGTTGATGGGGAAACTTGGGCCAAGAGCTCAGAATAGGTAGAGCCTGGTAGGCACCATGAACAAGTGGCGCAGACCTGGGCTTTGGGGGTCAGGACTTGAATCTGCACACTACTGACTTACTAGGCCATCCTGTGCAAGCCCTTTCACCTTCCCAGGGTAGTTGGGACAGTCAAATCAAAGTAGGTGTATCTGGATATAGATCTGGCACTGACCTTTCTTGTTGTCTCATTTATAGAAACATTCCCCCCACCAATGGACAGCTATTGACTAGGCCCCACCTCTAATCTGTGAGAAAAATGGAACCAATGAGGCCTCTTGCTAGGTGGCCATGAAGTTTGCCCATTGCAGCAGAGGATTTCTTGCTTTTTATTTAGACTTTCTGTTCTTTCCCCCAATTACACAATTAATCTCTTTGCATTGTAGAAAAACTTGAAAATGCAGGTGAGCAAAACAAAGAAAATCTTCCTTAAGCCCACCACCCACAGATAATCTCTGTTAATTATGTGGGGGATTATTTCCCATGTGTATGTACATATTTTTTTGGAATGGCTGTACACTCTTGATCTTCTTTTTAAAAGCACCTTTATTGAGGTATAATTTACCTACCATGAGATATACCCATTGTAAGTATACAATTCAATGAATTTTGGTAAATTTACCAAGTTGGGCGAGCATCACCAGTTGTAGAACATTTTCATTACTTTAATAATATCCCTCATGCCTATTTACAAGTGCTCCCCAGTTCATCCCAGCCCCGGGCAACCACTAATCTATACTTTTATAAATTAGAATAGGGTCCATTGTAACCTGCTTTGTTCCATGTCAACAGCCAGACAACAATCAGATTTTCTGGCTTATCCACCCGATTCTGGTCCTTGTTGATGGACATCTAGCTTATTTTCTTCTCGTATCCTTGTTTAGTTTCTAGTTTCATAGATAGGCTGAGGCTCTGGGAGAGGAATTGCTAGTCTAAGGCTGGTACTTCTGAGGTTTTACTCTGCCCTCAGAGCTGGGGAGCTGTGCAGGTTCACAAATGTGACTTGGGGGGTGTCCAAGTTCCCTGAGAGGAACAACAGCTGAGAGATGGGCCAGGCAATGCCAGGACATGGGCCTCAGGTGTCAGGAGGTGGTGCTGGACCAAATCTGGGAGTCAGTAGGGAGTCTTGGGGAGGGGTTGGATCAGGGCATCACCATGCTTGGGTTACATGTCAGAAGTTTCCCCTGGCAGCTGGGGTGGAGGATCACATCAGGAATAGGGAACTAATTGAACACTTACTGTATGCCAGGCACTATGCCGACCATTGAGTCCTCCCAACAACCCCAAGTGGATAGACTTAAGATCTTTATCTTACAGATGAGGCACAGAGAGGTTAAGTAACTTGCCTAAGTTCACACAGCCAGAACATGGCAGAGCCTGTATTTAGACCCAGACTGTGGGCTCCAGAGCCCACACTCTTAGTTCTTAACCCCTGAGGTCTTAAGAGTGGGGTTAGAGGAATGAAGCAGGGAACCCGGGAGGCTGCTCCACTTGGAGCTATGCCGGAGCCTGGGAGTAGGTCATAGAGGGGTCAGAGGCCAGGAGGCCACCTATCCCTCCCAGCCCAGAGCAGCTTTGGAGTCATGAGACTGAGGACTGGCACCAGGGAGTCAGCTGCAGGCCCTCAACCCTACCCTGCTGGCCCTGCTGCATGCCCTCCCTCCTGCCCTCCTGGCCAAGCCCTCTGTCATGTGAACATTCTTGGGGTGGAGCTGCCAGCACAGAATCCTGGATTCCGTGGGTGAAGGCACTGCCCTGGCTGCAATGTACAATGGCCTCCGATGAGCTGTCTTCTCTCTGAACCTCCTTTCTTGCTCTGTGCTTTGGAGTATCCAGAGGCCAAGGGCAGAGGGAAATTGATAGCAATCCTGTTGCACATGTTTGGAATTATTGTTAAACCCGTGGTAGGCTTCTCCTCCCCACCGATTAATTTATCAGATCTTGTACATGCTTCTAAGTACAGAAGAGGCAAATGGAGATGGAATTCTGGTCAGGGCCTCCTCATCTACCATGGAGGTGGGTCTGGTTGAGGGGGTCATCTGAGGGCTCTGGTTTGCCTAAAGCCTTTGCTGGCATAGCTCATTCTCTCCTCTGCCTGGATACTTCCACGTTTACTCTTTGTCTGTCATACCCCAAACTCAGGCAGCCTTCCCGATCTCACCTCCCCCACCCCATCTTGGTAGTGCTTTCTCCAGCTCTCTTGGCCCTGGGATCCCTTCCAAGGTGTCTAAATCAATATGGAGGAGATTTGCCTCCCAGGTTCCAGCTCATGTGTGTCTGGCTATTTTCTGGGTCCATGCCAGTCCTGGTGATAGGGACACATTTGAGGCTACACTGCCATCCTATGCCTCTCCCCACAGTATCTTGTGCCCAGTTCCCTCCCTGGTCCCAGCAAGCACGGACCCTCCTTATAAAACATAGCTTGAGACTGCCTACTGCCCAGCTCCCAGATCCAGGCACATAACTCCTCAGTTCCCAGACCACTCATGGCTCCTCAGTGTCCCCAAGATAAAGTTCCCTGTCTCAACATGGCATTCAAGACCCCCAAGGCTTGCCAGACCTGCCCCTCCTGTGACATTTCTTCTCCATCCAGAGCCTACCCCTCAAGCACTCCCCATGCCCCAGACACACTCTGCTCCGGTATGGTGCCCTTCTTCCTGTGCCCCCGTGTCCACAGCACCTCAGGGGTACAGCCTAAGAGAGACCTCTCCTATCAGACATGTTCCCCTTCCCATACATTTTTGTCTACCTCTTGGTATCTGGCCTGCCCAACCTAGGGCAGCAGAAAGCAGAAAACCCTCTCATGGTGACTATGCATTGCTGTTTTTCCTAGGGAAAGTACCCTGCCCTCTCTGAACTTCAGGGGCCTCCCCTAGAAAGCAGGAGGTGGAGGCTATAATATTTGCTGCCTTTGAGGCCCCTGATGCCTCTAAGCAGACAGGGTTGGGGGAACAGAGAGAAGCATGATGGGAGTGGGTCCAAAACAGCAGGCAGTCATGTGGCTGAGTGTTACCTCCTGCCCAATGTTCAGCTCGTTGGACACAAACATCCTAAGTGACCTGGTCAGCCCTAGGCAGGGGTCACCTCCGGGCAGATCTGGACTTTCCCCCACCAGCAGGTGCAGCCTAGGTGGTAATGGCTGCGCTGGCCTTAGGAAGTGTCTCTGGCTTCATCTACTGCCAGCAGTAGGCCCTGTGGCTGTGCCCTTTGGGCCCAGGAACTGACTGGGACTGCATACATGTGAGACCCATGTCCCACGCGGCCCCACAGAGGGGATTATGTCAGAGGAGGAGAGAGCCCTAGAAATGGGCATAAGGGGCTCCTGGGAAAAGGAGTCTTGGAGGCTGTTTTCAAGTGTGTGATTCCCACGCTGGGTTTGCGGTTTGGTGGGAGGTAGGGCAATGTGGGGTTCCATTCCACCTGGGAAAGTTTGTGGCTTGGAGAGGCCCACTCTGACCTGGAACCCTGCTCAAGCCCCCCATCTCCCAACTGATATCCTAGCTATTAGCGAGCCTGTCCATCGCAGTCACACTTCAGGCCTGCCCCTCCCAGCGCTTCAGGGTCCCCATTCTCTCTGCAACTGGAAGGCTGGTGGTCCAGAAGTCTTCAAATTCAGCCCCTGTTATGTGGCCATAGACAAGTGGCTTAACCTCTCTAACCTTCAGATTCTCATCAGTGTACTGGGAACAATAATAGAACCAGCTTCTTAGACTTGTGGCCATCAGATGAGCTCATTTAGGTCAAGAGAGCAAGCAGTGCATGGCACATAGTCGGCCCTCAACCGATGCCAGTAGATATTATCATTTAGAGCACTTAACTAGGAACTCCTAAACAAATATTAGTAGTGGTTATCCAAGGAGTCTGTGTTGGAAGTTTCCGAGATGTTCTAGGCTATGGTTCCAAGTTCTGCGCATCCACCATTTGGTGATTCTGGGTCTGCTTGGGCTGGCAAGGCCAGTGGGAAGCTCCTTGTCCCTCCGCCCACTTTACCCCTGAGGAGCAGGCCTACTGTCTTTAAAGATAAAAGAGACTAGAGCTGGAAGGAACCTTACAAATGCCTTTGTAATCTCCTTGCCCAGAGTACAGATGAGGAACAGAGGCCTCAAGACACCTGACTCACCACAGTCCCCCTGCCGCCCAACCTGGGTGGCCCAGGCCCAGGGGTAGCTGAAGGGGTAAAGGAGCTGGAGACCTATGAGAAGCTGCAGGGAAGCCAGGCCCTGCAGGGATTGTTTCTCAGACAGAGAAGCTGCTAAAAAGCACAGTGTTGCTGAGTGGCCACAGTTGATGGTTCCCTTTACAAAACACCTCAAGGCAGCCTTGGAAATGCAAATTAAAGCACCTTGGAAGTTCCAGTCACACTACTCTTGGGACTAAACAAAGCAACCAAAAGTAAATAAAAACAATAAAACCCAGTGCTAGCGATGCTATGAGGAAATGAGACACATTGCATGGGTGATTGTAAAGGGGTTTGTCTTTTCCAGGGAGTAGCCTGGTGGCTCTAAAAGAGCATGCTGCCTTTGACCCACACATCTACTTCAGGTTTAAAACAGGCCGCAGGGAAACAATCCAAAAGGGAGAAATATATAAATTATATAATTTATATTTAAAAAAAATGCATAGCAGTACTACTTACACGAGAACAATTGCTCAACAGTAGAGGACTATCCACCCCCAAAATTGCTACTGCATCAGGCCCACAGGTTGTTTTTCAGCTGCCAGAATAATAAGTGCCTCAAGCCCATACCTAGGACAAGATATCTGATTTGATGCTCACTGGCATCTTGTATAACCAGCCATGTTCAGGGTCCCTTGATCCATGTAATTGGGAGCTGGTGTATGGAGTGGCACAGATAAGGGAAAGATCTGAGAAGATGACATCAGAGAAAGTTTTAGAGGAGAAATAGGAGGTTGCCAGGTGGACAAAGGGTAGTGGGAAGGGTATTCTTGGCAGAGGGAATAGCCTGAGCAAATGTATGGTAGCATTAAATAGTGCGACATGTTCAGAAAGCAGACAAGAAAAGTGAGGCTTAGTGAGAGCTGAAGCAGTAGGACTCAGATGGCCAGAGACCAGCAGAGCAGTGAGGTGGTGGCTGGTAGTCCATACCACCCTTAACTCTAATCCTCTCTGTGTTCAGCCCTATACCGAGGGCTACTGGGGTCACAGGGTTGGTTCAGGCTTTGGCTTGGCTTTGAGGAGCTCCCAGTTGAAACCTCTAATAGTGGTTAGGAAGGCTTTCTAAGAGGAGTGCCAGAGCTGAGCCTTAACGAGCTTTGTGTTGCCTCTTCTGTACACACTTCCTGACCTGAGACAAGTGTGACAGCAAGTCAGACAGAATGAAGCTGAAGTTGGGGCTCCTGTCCCTGGCAATACTCTGAGGTTGGTGGGCCTGGATCTGAGTCCCAGATTCTCCAGTTGGCAGCTGTGGGACCTTGGGTACATGCCCGCCCTCTGAATCTTAGTTTCCTTGTCCATCTAGAGGTCCCATCCCATTCCAGGAAGAGCCGGCACACAATTACACCCCTGGGGCAGCCCTGAGTGCACAAAGGGCAGCCTGTGCCCGTGTTGCATACATAACCTGCTGAGGACATGCAAACCTGCTGACCTGAGTCCTCAGGATGAGCAAGGAGGCACTGGTGGGAGCAGCAGAGATGGATGGCAGGCATGGTACAACTCCAGCTCCCTGAAATGTTGAGTGAGCGCCCCATTCCTGCCCTGTACCCTCCATCAAGCAAGCAGAGGTGGAACATCCTGAGGGTCCCACAGGCTATGCCTCATGTCCTCCTGTGTGGTGGTGCTGCTTTATACTGTTTTCCATTCTTCCCAGTTATGCAACCTTTGTGATCTGCACTGCATGGGACAATTTGCAAATCCTTTTCCTGCCCATTCCCTGGAGAACTGGTGTCCTTCGCTCAGGTGACAGACAAACCTGAATTAGAATCCCAGATCCCTGGCTGCCTCTCTGACCTCCATCTCTCCATCCCCCCACCCTGCCCTGCTACAATCACACTAGCCTCACTGTTTTGATATCACACTAAGCTTGCACCCACCTCAGGGCCTTCTGCCTAGGACATTTTTCTTCCCTCCTAGTCAACTTTCTCATTTCATCATGTCTTTACTCAGATGTTACCTTCTCAAAGAGGCCTGCTCTGACTACATCTGTAATGTTCTCTCACATTCTCTACCCTGCCTTAGTTTCTTCATGATGCTCATCACCACCTGTACCTACATTCCTTCACGTATTTGCAAACTGCTGGTCTCCTTCACTGGAACATAAGCTCTACAAGGGAAGGTCTTTGTGCTGTGTTCCTGTATCCCCAGTGCCTGGCACAGGCCTGGCACAGGCCTGGCACACAGTAGATGCTTAGGAAAGGGCAGTAGATATCAGAGAAATAGATCTGGGCTAAATGGACCAGGCCATGTTGGGAGCTCCCTGTCCTGGGGAGGCATGCAAACGGCCTTTGTTTTGGGCCCAAGGTCAAGTTGGATGGGCCGCAGGCTCCCGTGGTGGTCAGAACTGGGCTCCTGCAAGTTCATGGTGTAAGGCCCTCCCAGAATGTCCACCATGGCCTCACAGAATAAACAGGCCAGAGAATAAAAGGCTGCCCTACATCTGCCATCAGAGGGAGGTTTGAAGGGAGGGAGGGAAGGAGGCATGGGGTTTCAGATTTCCTATTGGGTCCTGATAGAATCATAGCAGGAGAGGAGGAAGAAGAGGAAAAAGGAGGAATCCAGGCTGAGGGAGGGGGTGGAAAGGGTAAAAAATGGGTGTGGGTATGGGGGAGTAGGACATGGGCCTACGGAGACCCAGAGTTTGTGCTTCCTCCTCTTCCCAAGGTTCAGAGAGTGTTCATAGGAGTCATGCCTACATTTAGAGTCTGCCTTCATGTGGGAGGCCCAGTGCTCAGCTAGCTTGAGGATGGTCCAGTTTGGGAGCCATGACCAGCCTTTTGGAACTGCTGTCCTGTCTCTCAGGGCCAGGACAAGGTGAGGCAAGAGAGGAGCTTCCTTAAACTGTGCCCCCTTGGTGCCTGTCCTGCCCCACCCTAGTCCTAGCCCTGTTAACTCTCCATGAAACAATCTCCATTAAATGGATATGGAGCTCTGACTTGAACATTCCAAGTATCAGGTGGCTCACCTCCTGACTTCCCAGTTCTAGACCATTTCAGGTGCTGCAGAGGGACTAAACTTTGTTGAGATCTTGCTGAGTAGAGGGTGCTTCACACACTTGCTTTCCTAGAATCTTCGCTCTGGAGGCCAGGGGTAGAGGCTCAAAGACTGGAGGTGACTTGCCCATGATTATGCAGAAAGTTAGGGATAGAGGCGGTCTGTGCCCCCTTGGCTGTTCTGAGGTAGGAGGGGACTGTGAGACTGGCTCTTGAATTTTCATCTCCCCGATTTAGGTCTGGCCCAGAGCTTCTACAGAGACTGGCAGGCAGATCTGGCTCTAGGAGAGAGTAAGATGGGGGCTGGTCAGGCCAAGAGTTCAGGAAATGGCTGGCCTCTCCATATGCCACCAGGTGCCTCGTGGTACCCAGGCCCTCTTCCTTGCTATGTCCTAGCTTAGACTGTGTCCTTTGTCCTAAGGCCAGGCCTCCTCTTGGAGCCTGACTCCTGCTACCATCAGAGGGTTAGTGAGTGACTGACCTCTTCTTCCTACCTCCTCAGTCTGGATGGCAGTCTGAGGGCGAAATACAAAGATTTGAGAAATGGAAAACAAAGAGAGGCAAGAAAATGTGAGGGGAAGAGAAGGATAGGGCAGGAAGGGGAGGGGGCTCAAAAACTGGGGAACATAGGAAAGAACAGAGCCATGAGGTCTGCTTTTGAAACTCGAGTCTGGACTCAGGCCTGTGTCTTCCCTATTTTCAGTCACTCAATGAGATCAGGGCCTTTACGACAGCAATGTTCGGTTGTGTTTTTGGGGTGAGGGAGAGTGCTCACACCCACAGGTCGAGGAGAGCGGGAGGTGGAGGTGGAGGTAGAAGTGTTAGAGGAAAATTCTGTTGTCCTTAGCACTCCCTGCAAGGCCATGGAAGGACTTGGAAAGAGGGGGAACTGGGTGTGTGGGTGGAAGATAAGACTGAGTTTCCTCATTTAGGCTCTTGGAGAGGGAGGGCTAGGAGGGCTCTAGCCCCCCAGCACCACCTGCTCAGTCACCATGCCTGCCTGTCCAGGATTTGGTCCCTTTCTAAGGGGGCAGTAGCCTGGGAGCAGGAAGAGGGATGAGCAGGTGCTGCGGTTAGAGGCCTGATCAGGCCTTGGTGGTGGTCTGCTTGGTCACAAAAACCCCAGCTGGCAAACCTGGCCTGCTGGCCAGGCTGTTTTTCTGCATGTTTGTCAAACTCAGACCTCACACAGAAGGGGACATAGGCCTAGGTACCCCCTTAAAAGACCCCCAGAGCCTCTCACCCTAGGGCTGACACCCTGCCTTCTTTACCTTCTGTCCTAGGGGTTGGGTCACCTCTTGGCCTCCTAGGATGCTACAGTGAATAAGTGAGTCAGCCTTTCCCTGGTGACTGCTGGGGGACTGTGAGGTTTGGAGTGGGGGAGCAGGGAAGACTTAACTGATCTCACCCCTCACCCCCCATCCCAGACCCAGAGGGACCTCTGTGCTGGGAGTCAGGAGACTCAAGTAGTACCTGGATGTGTATTTGGGTTAGGGGTTTCCCTTCCTCACTCTGGCCCTGTTTCTTGGCAGTGACCTGTTATCACGGGTTCACAGGATAGGTGGCCCCATGCTAAACTGCCCCAGAGAAGGGAGGTCCCTGCACCCACCACCAGGCAGCCCTTAGCCTTAATTAAGCGTTTCTTGGTACTAAGCGTGTAACCCATATCTTCTTTACTTCTCTCATTCTATGCCAGAGAGATGTAATTGTTCCATTTTCTAGAGGACTGAACTGAGGCTTAGTTAGAGCCGTGGAGGCCGGCTCAGGGTGTCAGTGAGCCAGTGATTTCCAACACAGAGTTCCTGGGAGTTGGGGCATCTCAGCCCGGGTACTTCCATCCTTGTTCCCACTCCGTGGCACTTCTCAGAGGTGGTAACGGAGGTGGTAGCAGGGTTGGGGGCCTGTGACCGCCAGTAACCCCGCCGGATGCCGGCGCCTAGCGGGTTAAAGGCCGGCGCCCGCGGGTAACCCCAGTCCCATCAGCGCTGCGGGGTGA